TATATATGACATCGGACACCAGAGACTGGAAACACAGACCTTTAGCTAGTACTAAACTGATATTTCCAGCAAGAATTGTGAACAAACTCAATGCAGCTTAAAAACAGCCAAACTTGCCTGAAATTGCCTTACTACACCAACCTGAGTACCCAACTGGTATACATTGGCACTGGTACTATAAAAGATAAATTTGTCTTCCAATGTAATTGCTTTATTGTTTTGTTTCTTGTATTCTTTTAAACAGATACGGTTGTGAGTGTTATTTTATAATTAAGCTTGTACATTTTTATTTTTTTTATTTTACAACCACGTTTCAGTATCCTTAGTATATACTTTTGATTTTTTTAAAATAACATTTGAAGCCTAAAAGTATTTTGCCGTTTGTGCCCATGTGCAGAGGTTTAGTGAAAAGTTTACAAGATGTAGAGATAGAACAAGTCTGTTATATACATGCACTAAGAAGATGTTGTGCCAATAGACTGTCGTATTTATTGACCATATTGAATACATAAAGAGGTCAATATTCATAATCTGTAGACTATGCCTATGAGGCACATGCACAGTTTGATATCAGCTAACTTCTCAAGATTTTTATCTTTTTTTAATATTGGTAGCACAAAAAAAAAGGAAGAATCTAAAAAAAAATTTAGGGGGAAATCACTGTACATTACAACATAATTCTGAATCAGAAAATGTGTTCTCTAGCATAAAAATTAAATTGGATTAATTTCTTCCACCACATACACCAATACCATATCCATGTCTTTGGTATCTCAGATGACCATTAAATATATTTTATTTATATAGTTATTCTCACCTTGTTTCTAACAATGCTTCAAGCAGTATAGTAAAATGGATCATGGCCTATCTGATCTTTTCTTATTTCTTCTAAATGTGCCATTGTATTTTACACATAGCATTCAGAGCTATCACATTGTCTAGATAATCTACCAATCATCTATACAGCTGGTTGCCTAGGGGCCATTTAAAAACACCCTTCCCTTGGATAACTTTCTTCAATGCTTTCCTTCTGGCCTGCTACTGTGAATGGGTTACTATAGACTTTACAGTTCCACATACAAAGAATGGTAACAAATAAGCTCCTTGATAGAATTATAAGTAAAACCCAGTCTAAAAAAATTGACAGTTTAAAATATTCCTGTTGACATGGAAGAGTGGAGCAAATACTTACAGTATACTGTATACCAATAGACTCACCCCACCTACAGATCCTACAGACCTATAGATTCAGAAGCATCAGCCCGAAGACACAAAAGCCAAGATAGAACATTGGTTCTCAAACCTGACCTCTGGTATCAGCAACAGCGCTAGTTTTCAGGATTTTAATAATGCAGATGAGTTTAATGCGTGGTTATACTAGAACTTTACTTGTGCCGTGTTGAAATGTAAACCATATATGGCTGGCACCGCCTTAGGATGGGTTTGGGGAGAAACAACAGTAAATAAGCAAGTTTACAGTCGAGTCATGAAGAGGTAGATACTTCTGGTAAATGTAACCATATAAAGGATGAACCTGTATATTTCAGTAACTTAGCTTTCATGTTTTTGTATTAGTGAAACACATATGGTAAGTTAGTGTTGTCCCGCTCCAGTCCTTGAGGTTCACATCCAGACCATGTTTTCCAGGCAGGCCCAAATTTTTCACTTCATTGAATTTGCCTCACTTTGTTAATAGAAGAATACTAAAACATGGAACAATTGTGGTCTTTGAGGACAAAGTCGGAGAGTGATATAGTAAGTTATTGCCTTCAGACACTCTAGCAGCTGTTGTGTAAATGTACAGGGTAGAATTTATTGGAAAATCTCAGCTAATGGGACATTCACTTTGTCCAAAGATGTTAAAGTGTACTTGTTGCTTTTACAATTTTGTTTTTGGAACCAAGAGTGAAGCCCACAGGTTTCCCACAAACTAGAGCCCTCTTGCCTCTGTGATGTCATCAATTCCCCGAGGATCGATGGTGTGATTATGAATATTGGTTTAGTTCAAGCATGCCTGCCTACACTTTGGTAAAGAAGCAGGCGTGCATGAAAATTGTTTTGCTGTAGGTGTTAAGCAACATTCAATAGATGTTTTGACTTGTACTAATACTCAACAGTTGCCTTACTTTGCGTGAGATTTGTTATGCCATCAGACACATATGCACTTTGTGTAAAACAAAATAAAATACATTTTTTAAATGGTGTTCAGGTTTCTTCATTTTTATATTTGAAATTTCACATATTGGTATATTATTGGTACACTAAAGCAGGACACAATTGTCTAAAATGCGTTTGTATGCTGTAGCATTAACAGTATCCTTAACTGGAAACACCTGAACTCAAAATTTGGAGGGATGCCAACATACTTTTGGCCATACTGTCAGAGTGATGGTCAGATGTCCACATACATACTTTGACTATATACAGTTGTGTATGTAACCCATATTCCAAACAGCTCTTCATGTGGGGTGGGTGGGTGGGTCAGCTTCTTTTAGTCTGTGTCATGCAAACCTTTAGATTCAAATTTCCAATGTAGGCTTGCATCTGGTTGGTGGCTCTGATGACTTTCTTTGTACTAAAACTGAGACGCTGGGCTTTCTGTATGTATGGTTGCAAGGAGCCGGCAGAAGGTGTGTTGAGTAGTAGTTTGCTCAATGATGACATTTATTATGCCCTTCTGTGACTCCAAAACCCAGCATATAGCAGGCTATTGCCGGCTATATGCTGACAGCGCAGGGCCAGGCTGCAGCCTGGAATTATCCAGACAATATTGTCGGGATCTACCCGACTGCCTGATTGACAGCTGGCTCTGCCTCTCTAGAGGCAAAGCCAGTTATGCCAACCCCCTCCCGTCAGAATCTCCAGTCAGCGCTGGAGGAATGGAGGAGGAGCAGAATCCCTGGTGTGAACAGTGGCTGACAGTCACCACTCTCTTCAGGAACTGAGCGATCAGCGCTATGCGATTGCTCAGTTCTGGATCTATAGAGCCGACATGTGTCATGATCGCATAAGGCGGCGCTTCGGAATCCGTACTGAGTGACGCCCTCTTCATTTATGTCACACCACTCCAGCCCCTCTTCTGTCAGTCTGCGGCTTAAAGCCACATGAAATTAAATGTTCGGCCTCTTGTCACTTCGTGGGAAGACACTGAGCATTTCCCCCACCAGACCTCTCTTCTAGAGATACTCACCTTTGGGCTGCCACCTCTTCACCACCGCAGGTCCTGTCTGATTCTACTAGTACCTCACTACCCTTTCAGTGCATCCACCTCTCCTGAACCTGGTGACATCTCCTTGGTCTCGTCTCCTGCCACAGCACTACTCAGATGATCCTTACCTACCTGGACATGGGAAGTCATTAATACAGCCAGCAAAGCCCAAGTACTACTGGTTATTATTATTTGTTTGAAGCTTGGATACACATAAGACTGTTCTATGCACCTGTATGAACCAAATACGGAAACGCATGTTACACTGAGTTCTGATTTCGTATGTTTTGTTATGGACTGGCTTCCATTATCTTCGACCTGCTTAAGTATACTTTTGAAGATGATTATATTTGTTAAGATTACCTGTCTGAAATCAACGTTGCAGAACGCATACAAGTGAAGTACAGCTCTGTAGCTAAGATCCTAAAAAAAAACCTAGCCTTGAAGCTGTTGACTCTTATATACAGCGTTACAACATGTGACAGCTGCAGTGTCAAATGTCGGCTCTAATTATGGGGATGAGTGTATTTCACTCTCCCCATAATTCTGCTTTAAACAATGTCATTAGTCTTCCCAGGTTTCTACTGTGAACTAAAGAACATATTGTGCCTGTGTTTTCAAGATAAGAAGAGGGGGATGTTTTTAGTCCCAACACACTTCCTGTCCTAGGGTGGCAATGCTACACCTCCATCTATACAGTACAGTGAGTGAGTGTTGTCACTCTAGGGCAGGAAGTGTGTTACTGGCAAGATCACCAGGTGAAAATTAAGAAAACAAAAAAAAGAAAACTAATGCTGTCACTACATCTAAGGACTGGTAATCTGCTATGTACAGGCAGTCCCCGAGTTACATACATCCAGCTTGCATACGACTCCTACTTACAAACGGAGGCTATTACTGTACAGCAGGGGTAGTGGTAATGTTACCGCGCTTGTGCTGACCAGGAGTGCCCACCTTTTTGGGTCTGGTTTGTAGTACTGTACGTACATTACAGGAAGATGGCTCTTGTTAAACGTGCAGACGAGGGGTGTGA